TCTCACTTTCACAGTTTATATTATGCATGCATAATTGCATTGTTTTTTTTACCACTCTCCTTCCCCCCTCCTTATTTTTAATTGATACTTCGGATTGACTTCGAAAGGATGCAACTCCTCAGCACAAAGCCTCTGTGAAAAACAACACACGAAGGTATTTGAAAGGTCAACATTGTTTGAGAACTATAGTGTCACAGAAAGACATTAATTTAGACGAGTACATCGATAGATACTAGGTATTATGACTGTTTGCACATAAACACAGATTCTGGAAAATAACAGTAAGATTATTAAAGATTTAGAAGACTGATACGTTTTACGGAAAGAGAAAAGACAGACAAAAGTCCACACAGCTGAAAGATTTAAAAAATATCAACAGAATAATACATTTTCAATCACACTTCAATTTCAGTACATGTACTAATATAGGCCGTGCATGGCTATTTGACAAAGCAAAGAAACATCAAACGGAAGACAGGGAGTTGCGGGGACGGGGGCGGAATAAAGTCACAAAACCCCTTTCAATTACCAGTGGGAAAGACACACGGAGTTGAGATAGATTTATAAATCAGCCAATAAGCAAGGAGACAAGTAAATCCAATAAAAGCTGAAGAGAAACAAACTTTAAACTCGAAAGCGGACATTCAACCGCAGCGTGGCTTTGCACAATCAACATAAGGAATGTCAATAACTGAGAGCACAAAACATTCCAGCTTCTTTGTTCTATCGAATGAACCTGTAATTGCCCGGCCCATTTTTCTAAAAGAACTAACGCAAATGCTATTGGCATAAAAGAGCATATTGGTAAGATGGCGGTTTGCCGGAAATTCCTTTCAGATTTAGCAATTTGCCAAAGCAACAATTTTCTCTAGTGTCCCATCAAACGTTTATTTTCTGACAAGCATTTACATTTTAAAAAAGCCATCCCAGAATTGAAAGCATTGCAACACCTCAAACGAAGCCACATTCATATCAACAGTAACTCTTGGCCTGACATACTCACCAGTATTTTGTCTCGAAATCCTTCCCCAAGCTGGCCGCATAACGAAACCATCCACCACCGATCCAACACCAGGGGTAACCGGAACGGGAAATCCAAAAAGGATGCTGAGAGTGGCAAATTAGCAAATCCTTTCTGCTAACAAAAAGACCAGAGTGTTCTTTTTTCCCGCTAGGTGGCCTCTTTTAAGAGATGACTTACGTTGGGGATAGCCATGTTCTGAGGTTTATAATTTAAGTGATTTAACTGTCAAGAAGGTTCCTTTGTGCTGCTTTGACAAGGGCAGCAAGATCCGTTAAATAGACGGGGCAAGATGGTGTATTTTGCTTTGAATCCTCACTGCTTCCCTGAGAAATGATCATACAGCGGCTCAAAAATTGTGTGTGCTGCATGCGCACTGGTCCCAGATGTTTTAGGACGATGAATGACACACCGTAGCACCTGTCTTTGGTCTTTTGTCAAAGTTCAAACTACTCGTATTAATAATATCTGTGGACATAACAATAGTCATGCATTAGGCTGGCTTGGTTAAAATTCCTTTAATAGTCCATCAACATGCTGTCCCCCATGACCATAGACTCTTCCTTAATACAACCATGACAAGTGTATAATTTTCCATGACCCTTCCAAGGATACCCTTCAAAAGTGCATTCGTTTATTTTACATTATTTATCACATCACGTATTTACTTGTTCCTTCTTCTGTAACCATTTCTGGTGGCACAGACGTTCCTCGTGCAAATAGTGACAATAATAATAATAATAATAATAATAATAATAATAATAATAATAAGCAAAACCACAACCCCATCCGCCCACCCAACCCCCTCCCCCAAAAGATAAAACCCCCAAAGCAACAAACATGCAAGCGAACATTAAAAATTACTTCATGGCAACCGCCGTGGCAACACCAAGACAAACTCTCCCGCACTTGTCGGAAGGATGGTACTCATTTAATATTCACATAAATAAACTAACACGCACAAGCTGGCCATATATATCTCTCTCTCTCTGTCTCTCTGTCTGTCTGTCTGTCTGTCTGTCTCTCTCTCTCTCTCTCT